AAAATATCTTAATTTTCAGGTTATTCAGAAATATATTTTGTGGATAATAAGAATTAGTTCATAAATATATATGTATAAATATAAATATATATCTACAGGATCTGGGGTACAGGAGAAAATTCTTTAAAGAACAAAAAATTGCACTTCTAGATTATCAAGATCTTGTTATATTTACCCTTCAAGTGAAATATAATTACCAGTCCAGGTGCTTTTGGCACAAGTTTTTAGGTGAATATTGACACAATCTTAAAAACACAATGCTTTTATATTTTATTCACTGGAATATGAAGAATCAAACAGACTTTAGAATTCTGACAAAAAAATCCCAGGTATCTGCAATTGTTTAATTAAATACAAAAAAATCTTTTTTTAAAAGACGTTCATTCTGTCTTTACATCTGGAAAATGTAAAATTTTATCAGCAAGAAGTTTTCTCCAACCTCCTCAGTAAGAGTTCCCAGTCTACACACAAATGCAACACCACCTGTTTCTACTCAAACATGACATTTTTAGATCACACCCCAGTATATAAGGACAAAAAATATATGTATAATAAAAAGATTGGATAAATCAGGAGAGGCTTTTTGGTCTTGAATTCTTCACTCACTAACAATGAAGCAGCACTGTAGGCAGCCCAAAACACACCAAACAGCTTTAAAAAAGAGAGAAACAAAAGGTAACAGTTTATATTAGCAGTCTATATAACTTTTGGAGTCCTGGTATGGCGTTGTACAGTAAACACTAGACTATCAACCCCAAGGTCAGTGTCTCAAAAACACCAACCTATCCTCAGAAACCCTATACAGGGTCGCTAGGAGTCTGAACTGACTCTATGGCACTTTACAATAAAAATATAGCTTTTTGAATATAAAACTTAAAACCCACTGCGTCAAGTTGTTCCCAACTCACATTGAGCCTACACGACAGAGTAGAACTGTCCCACTGGATTTCTAAGGCTGTAAATCTTTACAGAAACAAACTGCCAACATCCTTCTCCTACAGAGTAGCTGTTGAGTTCAAACTGCTAACTTTTTGTTTATCAACCAAGTGCTTTTATCACTGTGCTACTCTTCTTATTGTGAATTAAGCGAAGGTTATAGAGCAGAGCATCACTTTTACATTCAACACATCATATCATTTATTTCATGACAATGACTATAATCCCCTCCAGGTACCATCAGTTAATACCTCTCTATTCACTTTAACTCTTGCACTCCTTCCCTGTGTCTTCTTCTGCCAACCTCCCTCTTGTTTATTGCCTTACCTGCCACCCATGTTAACATGGGTCAATCCTCTAGCCTGTGAATAATTTTCCCTTCCCTCTCTACAATATATATATTTTTTTTTCCTACAATGTATTTTTAAAGTAACTCTGACAACCAATTATTGAAGTTGTAAAAATTAAGAATGTTTAAAATTGTATTTAAATGTATTTAAAATGTTTGGGGTTTTCTCTGTATTGTGGCCTTTACCTACCAAACCTGAATTTCTAACCAGAGATCTTTAACTCTCTAGAAATTTAATGTTAATGTATGTTGTTATTGTGAAGTGCCTTCGTGTCGGTTCCAACTCACAGCAACACTGTATAAAGTTTCCAAGGAGCAGATGGTGAGCTTGAACAGCTGACCCTGCCTAGGGTTTGTATGAAGGGGCTTCAAAAAGTTCCTGGAAACATGGAGTTTCTTCATGAACTTTTTGAAGCCCCTTGTAGATTAGACTGTGTATATTCTAATGTTAGAGTTAACTGGTGAGTTTTCTAACATATTTCTCATAAGACCTTGAATTTAAAAAAGAAACATGCACAGACAAGTGATTAGGAAAAATTTCTGGCAAAAAAATTTCTGACGTTTAAAAACAATTTATCCTAAATTTGTAATAATAAACAGACTCCCTCATTTTTAATACATTCATATAGTAAAATATTAAGTTCCAACTTTCAGCTGAAGTACATGACTGAAAACAACCAGAGGACAACTGTTACGGCAATTTCCGGAGTAGTCTCTGAAGTATTCAAACAGGCTTTAACCCAAGAAAAACAACACACAGTAGGAAGTGATCCTGAATGAGTCAGTAAAGTGGTATGTTCACTAAGGTTAAGATAATTAAATGCCAGTATGGGGCTAGCTGCTGCCCTGCAAGACTTTTAAGCTAAGTTCTTATAATGAGTAAACTGCCAATTGCTTTTCTTTTTAAAGATTTTAGGCAAAAAGTAAGGTCATCCTCATGACCCCTAAAATGTTCAAACAGTTCAAACATACTAAAATGATCTCAAAATGTTCTTTTATAATTTTATTAATAACAACAGCTACCACTTAAGAGTCTACTTTGTGCCAGGCACTATATTGTAGTTGTTGTTAAGTGCTTGTTGTTAAGTGTTGTTGTCAGTGACCCTATACAAGGTTTCTGAGGAGTGGCTGGTGGAATTTGAACCGCTGACCTTTAGGTGAGTAGTCCAGTGCTTATCCTAGAGCACCACACAAGGACCCCAGGTACCAGATACTCATAATAAACCCTAAAATGTAGTTAAGATTCCCACTTTGTAGATAAGCAAACCAAAAATAAGGAAAGTTAGAATACCTCCCCCAAGTCAGACAGCAAGTGGCCGAAACCAGCATTTGATTTCAGAACAGACTGGCTCCAAAACCCACATTGTTTTCAATACCCAAAGTTTATTTATAATGTCCTACCTTGACGTTAACCAATTCTAAAAGGAATCATTGTTTCTTTTACACTGAAATTATTAAGAACTTTCAAAAGAATCAAATCTAATAAAAACTAAGTAGCTTGGGTTACTTATAAATCAACACTTTGGTGGGGAGACTACATAATAGTAGTTCTGAAAGTGGTGGTCTTAAAAAGTCCTATTATTCATGAAGAAAAATTATATTCATGGTATAATATACATATAAATGCTACAGAAATAATTTTTCCTCAAAATTAATAAATGTCAAAATTTAAGTATGTTATTATTAAGTGCTATCAAATCAATTCCAATCTATAGCAACCCTGTATAGGGTTTCCAAGGAGCAGCTGGTGTATGACTATTTAATATTATCAGTAAATATATACATATCCTAGTTCCATACAATAAGCACTGGTATGAACCACAAGGTACATGGGTCAAGCTCACCAGCTGCTCCAAAGGAGAAAGATAAAGCTTTCTGCTCCTGTGATGACTTAAAAAGTCTCGGAAATCCTATACTCGGGTCACTAAGAGTTGACTCCACTGCAGGAATCCATTCCATAGCACTTAACAGCGTAAGTTAAGTTTTTATCTCTACAATAAAGAAAACCAATTTATTAGAACCATGACTATCATATTGAAGTCCTGGTGTGGTGCTGTAGGATAAGCAATAGACAGCAAGGTCTGTTTGAACTACAAGGTCAGTGGTTCATACTCATCAGCTGCTCATCAGAAACCTCATAAAGGGTCTGAACTGACTACGGGTCAGAACTGACTCCACAGCACTTAACAACAACATACAACGTTTATCATGTTAAGAAAGTTATTACTCAAGAGTTCTTGTTAAGTGCCGTGGAGTGCCTAGAATTTTAAATAAATACCTTCCTCAAAATTCTAAGTCAGAACTTGTACTATTATCATAAGGATGAAAAATTCAACATAAAAAATTATCTGAGTGTAATATCCTGAGGTCTAACTTGTTCAAAAGGAGCCCTGGTAGCATAGTGCTTATGAATCGGCCTGTGAACTGCAAGGTCAGCAGTTCGAAACTACCAGCTGTTCCACCAGAGAAAGATGAGGCTTTCTGCTCCTATAAAGATTTACAGCCTTGGAAACCGAGTACAGGGTCTCTTTGAACCACAACATCAGTGGTTCAAACCCACCAACCCTCCTCAAAAACCTTAGACAGGGTCGCTACAAGTCAGAACTAACTCGATGGCACTAACAATTAGTTCATTGTACTTTTTACCCCCAGACATATAATTGTAATTTCCAGCAGCAAATTACAAATTACAAAGGGAAAATTAAAAGAAATATAATTAGTAAGAACAGTAAGGAATGTCACTGTTCTAAAATATTAACAATGGTTTGAAAAACAGTTACAGATTATGACAGTCTTAGCCAGAGAATTAGTATACTTTTACCACTGGAAAATAGTACCTGATTGATATGATATACACAACTTACTTTTATAAGTGTAGACACCACTTCAAATGATCCGACCACCAAAAGTACAGGGGCTATTACAATGAGAGGAAGTAATGAATATCCTATAACTCCAAGAACTTGGCCATATGCAACCTGTGAATTTTGAAATTTTATATAAATATCACAGAAATCATGATACTCATTTTAATTACTATTGAACATCATATATTCTTTAATTACATACACATAATTAAGAAAATAATCATAAAGTATTGTATCTCTTATATGTCAATCATTACATGAACGTATATTTTAATCCTAAGAATTTTCCTGCATTGTTTCACTTATATATTTTTTTACAAAATGATTAAGAGCACAAATTTGGTTAAATTCCTCAAAAGACTTGTTGGAAATTTTGTTTGTGATTATATTAAATTTTTGGATTAATTTTAAAAACTTTTGACAACTTCAGAATTACTTTTTCTCCCATGTTCCTGGAAGCACTACTACTGCTTCAATGATCAATTTTCTGAATACACCCAAATCTACATTTCTAGTCCTTGTCTTTCTCTTGTGCTTCAGACTTGCAAATCCAATTACTTTTAACAAATCTGTAGAGTATACGCTGTTATTACTTCCTTAAGCTACTGCAAGATAGGGACCACAATCATCTTGTTCACATGAAAAAATCAAGGTAGAGAGATACTAGATGTGATAAAGGCACACTGGAAAGACTGAGGAGAGACTGACAATGTTTTTAGTGGCTCCTATAAGTCAAGCTCTGTGATACGGCTTCACATGTTATGAAGATCCAATGGAGTAACAACTCTATGAAATTGGTATTTTGTCCCTGTTTTGGAATGAACTGTGTCCGTATTGACCTGGCCGGGCAATCATCCTCTGTGGTTTGACAGTTATGCAGTGATGAAAATTCAGCAGTTATGTAATAATGTAATCCACCTGCCTTGATGTATTCAGATGATTAGCTAATCACACTGGTAAGGCAATCAGGGTGGAATATAACACCCTTACTCTGGTCACAGCTCTTATCCAACATTAAGGGTCGTTTTCCAGGCCCATATCACTTTTTATATTACAAGAGATGAAAGGAGAGATAAATGAGAAGAGAAGGAGAGACCTGACTACCACCAGGAAAGGATCTTAGCATTGAAAATCCCTAGACCCAGGAGAAAGGAGTTCTGGTAGCACAGCAGGTTTCAAGTCAGGCTATTAACTACAAGGTCACCAGTTTGAAACTACCAGCCACTCCACAGGAGACAGTAAGGATTTTTACTTTTGTAAAGATTTACAGCTTCAGAAACCCTACACAGGGTCAGAACTGACTGGATGGTACACCACAAGCAGCAGCAGTGGCACACCCAGGAGAAGACTAATGCCAAGACACAAGGAGATTTCTAAGAAATGCTGAGTCCACAGATGTTGAAAGGAGACAAGGACCTTCCCCTAGAGTCTACAGAGAAACCCTTCCCCTAAAACTGGCACCTAAATTCAGAATTCTAGACTCCTAAACTGTGATAGAATACATTTGTTTGTTAAATCTGTCTACTTGTGGTATTTCTATGACAGCAGCAGGGCTGCTAACCTCAAGGTCAGCAGTTTCAAACTACCAGTCATTCCATAGGAGAAAGATGAGGCTTTCTGCTCCCATACAGATTTACAGCCTCAGAAACCCTATACAGGGTCACTGAGTCAGAACTGACTCCATGGCATACTATCACTACCACCACCACCAGGTAACTAGGGTAGAATTTCGTACCAGAAGCTGGGTGCTAACTTAAGATACCTAAAATGAAGAAGCAGTTTTCGAACTGGGAAATGGGTAGAGACTGGAAGAGTTTTAAGGTGACTCAGAGTAGAAGCCTAGAAAACCCTTAAGAGAGTTTTGGGGGGAATTATGGATATTAAAGGTAATTCTGGTGAGGGCTCATAAGGAAATAAGGCGGTAACACAGATGGTGAGAAGCAGCATCAGAGAATGGCAGCAGCAGACTCAGGAGACCAGCACAAGATGGTACAGGAGGTACCTTCAAACAAAAGGTTTCCTAGTGGGGTAGGGTGTCTCTGGGTCCCCAAAAGATGGGGCTATAACCTTCAAAAGTCAGATCTTCACCAACTCGGTTCGAGAATGGGGAGCTACTGTTCATGAATGCCAGAAGGATGGGGCCAGAGCTGCTTCCCAAAAATAAGGGGACAAAGTTGCCATGTCCAAAGGGCAGAAGAATGAGGCCTTCTGTGACTGAGGGGGTAGTGTTGTTCTACTCAGTTGGAAGAGAATGGGGTTGCCCAAAGCTGAAGGAAGAGTTCTGGTGTGGCACTGTAGGATAAGCACTGGACTGCTAACCCCAAGGTCAGCAGTTCAAACCCACCAGCTGCTCCCTGGAAGTTCCATTAAGTCAGAACCAACATTTAACAACAGCACTTAACAACAAAGTGTAAGGAGCAGAGTTAACATTCCAGTCAGCCAGGAAGATATTGTTGAAGTCCAGGTCCAAGGGACCCCTAACTCAGAATCCAGAATGTCTGGCCAACAACCAAAGTCTGGAGGGCAGAGAACAGAAAATCATTTTCAAGGCTTAAGATCCAGTGTAAATTGTTCTGCTGTGTTGTGGACTTGCCTAGTGCCTATTATCCCTCGTCCCTTGAAAGTCTCAAATATGTAATGGAATGTCTCCTTGTGCTTGCTCCATTTTTGTACTGTGGTAGCAAATAACTCGTATTCTAGATCACAGCTGAGGGAGAATAAACAAGATGGCGGATCAGGTAGAAGGCCAGCGAGGAGGTCCGTCAGCAATAACACAGAATACCGGACCAAGCAGGCTCAGGGGATGGTACCAGAACTCTGAACCACATATAAAGGAATATTTAGAAGGTTGGAAGGCGCTTATAGCTAGAATTTGTAGCAGAAGCAAGAAATCCATTGCTTTCTAATCCAAGACGCTCAGCTGCTCCCAGAGCCGCCATCTTGGGCAAGAGCAAGCAGGAGACAGATCAGAGCAGCCACGAATGCCTGACAGAACCGTGGAGATAAAGGTGTGGACATTCTTGGGTTTTTTGGTATCTGTTAATTGGTCTCTCACTGTCTGCGCACCTCCATTCTGGTGACTAGAGGGGGTGCCTGAGTGATTGGACACCCCACCCCCACCCCCAGAGGGTTCTACTATGCATGTGCACAGATCTTCTCGAAATGTAAAGTGACAGTTTGCATTTTAAACCAAATGATAATGCAAAATGGTCATAGCCTGCCCGAAACTGTTTATCACTGAACGGGGATTGTGGAATGGAACATTCAGACTAAAAAGGAAATGGGCTGAAAATCAAATCCTGAATTACGTCACAATGACCAACAGTGGCATCCTTAAATTTCTCAGGAAGCACAGTGAAAAGGGAAGCCTGTCTTCTGATCATGTCTACCTAAAGTCAATCAGAAAGCAAAAAAAAATATCAAAATACACACCCATCTAACTCTTGAATATGCCCAAAAAACAGAAACAGATGACCATATCAGCACATGTCCAGAAACAAGATAAAAGTGACTGAGGGAAATGAGCTGCTAGTAGACCTAGACTCCATATTAGAAGATGGGTAGGCTTTGGAAATTCCGGAGAAGGAATTCAGAAAAATGATTATAAAA